GGCACGACCAATTGGATTGTGGCCAACACCAAAGAATGCCCCAAATGTCATGCCACCATAGAGAAAAATGGGGGTTGCAATCACATGACTTGTCGTAATGTGGACTGCAAACACGAGTTCTGCTGGCTCTGTTTGGATCGATGGGAACCGCACGGGGCCCGTTGGTACAATTGCAATCGGTACGATGAAGCCACAGCAAAACAGGCACGAGATGCCCAGGCGAATTCGCGCATGAATTTGGAACGTTATTTGTTCTATTTCAATCGATATTTGAATCATTGGCAATCGCTTCGTTTCGAGGCCCGATTGTACGAGTCGGTCCAGAACAAGATGGAACAAATGCAAACACACGGGACCTCGTGGATTGATGTGAAATTTTTTCGCAAAGTGGTCGATGTGTTGTGCAGCTGTCGACGCACACTTATGTACACGTATGCGTTTGCGTTTTTCCTGAAAAAGAATAACCACTCGCTCATTTTTGAGAGCAATCAGAGTGATTTAGAATTGGCCACGGAACAGCTGTCCGGTCTACTCGATCGGGATCTGTCCAGTATGGCTTTGAATGAGTTGAAACAGAAATTACAGGACAAGGCACGCTATTGCGAGAGCCGGCGTCAGGTACTGCTTGATCATGTGCACGAAGGATATGAGAAAGATTTTTGGGAACAAAGTACCACATGAGATCGCCTACCACTTGCATTGTCGTTCTCGCGTCTCGCTCACCTCTGTTCATCGAGGATGTACACAATTCACAGGGATTCTCTACACATACACAAACACTGTTCCATTGTTCTCTGCCACAGACAAACATTGAAGAATAATAAATCATACATGACAAATCCGCACGTTATGCAACTTATTTTGTTCTTTCTTCCACTGTCCGTTCAAACTCCTTCGACTTTGATTCCTCTCTCTCTCTCTATCACCCTCGACTCAGAATAAGAGAATACGCTCATTTTCACGCAATCATTGTCTCCCTCAGCCTAGATTGATCCGATGCCCATCCAACTGATCTTTGTCGGCCCGAAC